TTTCCTGTTGATGGGATGGCAAGAGTTGCAGTGATTTTAAAATACTTCTCTGTCTTCAGGCCTTGTGTACCCACAGCTACTTTATTAAAAGATGCATTTATTTGAACAAGAGAGCAGTTTGGATAAGTGCAGGAATTTCCTACACAGCCTGGCTCACTCATTTGGCAGTCATGGAACTCTTAATTCCAAGGTCAGGTTTTGAACTCCATTTGGTTCATAATTATTGTCCTAATTATTTTAAGAATTTTTTATTTTGATTAAATTTTTAACAGGTGTCACTCTCAGGCCTGTTGAATTCACTACTGGAATATCTATTAAAAAACAGCATTGCTTCATTAATTGTAAGCGTTTACCTTAAAATAAAACTTTCCATCATAAATAAAGCTCCAAAAAATGTTGAAAAGCAAAGAGTTACAAAACACCAAGTGCAGCAGGGAGCATTGTTTAGTGACAGAAAACAGAGCTGCATTTAAAGCATCGCTCACTTTAAACAGTTACAGACTGACACTATCTGTGCATATGCAGGGGCATGCACCCCATTGTTTGTTTCCAGTACCATTGCATTGAATTCAAAGATTAATATATTAGATTAGGATGAAAGTTGCCCTTCTATATTTGTACAAAACCAAACAATATTAAGGTTTTTCTATTGACGTAATAAGATTTTTGGTACTTCTTCCCTCATGGAAAAATGTGCTTGCTACTACAGTGCTATTTTTGTAACCTTCGATGTAACAACATTACACATAGTTCAAGCTACTTCTCTGCCAACAAGGCATGTTTTCTTCAGGTTTGGGGTTCCTGTTATCAAAGCAATTTTCCTCCATTCTGACAGCAGTTGTAAATTCTTCCATGACGTTAAAAACCAGTAGGCTATCTTCAAGTTAGTGACCGCATGCTACTGTTTTTTGGGTCCCCAGAGATTTTTGGTTAACTATAGTTTGTAATCTGATTATTTCTCATTTAGTAAGCTATGTCTTCAGTTACAAATTATCATGCAGTTTAAATTCTGCACTATCAGTTCCCAAAGAGATGTTGAAGAGCAAAGAGTATGGATGAATTGAAACTTAAGGCACGCACTAAATACCTAGACATTAAAAGAGAGAGTGAAAAATGATAACAAACAAAGGCAGAAATGCAGGAGGTAGTATTTATGTTCACCATCTTTTTCCCAGCTGCGATTAGCTCTGAAGAAGAGTTACTTGACTCAAAACGTTAACTTTATTTTCTCTCTGTAGATGCTGCCAGAGCAGCTGAGTTTCTCCAGCTATTTCTGCCGTTTTGTTTTAGATCGCCAACATCTACAGTTCTTTCTCATTTTCCATTAGAATAAAACAATATCGATTAGGGTTAAGGGTAATAGATTACAAAGAAATTTTCTTAAAGGAAAACAAGGTGGAACAACAATATTAGAATATGAAACAATGTAAAGTGTTTTACGGCTGTATAAATGTCAAAAGAAAAATCAGAATAAGGATAGTGCCACTAATGGATGCACAAGTTAAACTCTCAGATACTTGGAGTGAAATGTTGCATTGTTATTTAGTCTTGGTATATCTCAGAATTCAAAAGCAGGCAAGTACTGCTAAACTTGTCTTGAACTTTGGTTTGATCAGTCTTGAATTTGGAATACATTTCTAGACCACATATAATGAAAAGAAGACAGACTGACTTACATTTATATAGTGCTTTTTGTGACCATTGGACAGCTAATGGAGTACTTTTTGAAATGGTTATAATGTAGAAAATATGGCAGCCAACTTATGCTCAGTAAACCACCACAAATAGCAATGTGATCTTGACCAATAATGTTTGTTTTTGATATTGATTAAGGGATAAGTATTGACCAAGACAGCAGGAGTAACTGCAATGTTCTTGTTTTAAATTATACCATTAAGATCTTTTGTTTAGTCCAAAGGAGACAGATGGGGCATTGGTTTATAGTCTCATCCAAAAGGTGTTAACTTCCCAACAGTCTGATATTCCCTGAGTACTACCCTGGGGTGTCAATCTTGCTTTTCGTACTCAAACAACATAGAAATCACTGGAAAATCTCAGCAGATCTGGCAGCATCTGTGGACAAAAATCAGAGTAAGCATTTTGTGTCCAGTAACCCTTCTTCTGAACTGGACCTGAAATGCTAACTGATTTCTGTCCACAGATGCTCCAGATCTGCTGAGATTTCTAGCAATTTCTGTGTTTGTTTCAGATTTCCAGCTTCTGCAGTTCTTTTTGAATTTTTGTACTCCAGCTCTGTTATGGAACTTGAATCAGGAACTTTGTGATTCAGAGGTGTGTGCTGCCAACGGAAGCATGTAGAGTCAATGGAAAAAGTGCAAAAAACATTAAGTATGATACCAGAACTAAGTGATTATAAAGGATTATTATCATGAAAGGGATGGCCGGAAGGAGGCCTTTAAAGTGATAATCAGATTATCTTAAAGATGTTTCTATTTTGTAGGAGATTCATAAACTAGGGGCCTTAAAATAAGGTAGTCTGTAATAAATCCAACTGTTGAATTTAGTGAAAAAAGCATGCTTAAAAGGTTGAGATAGCAAGAACTGCAGATGCTGGAGTCGGAGATAAAAGTGTGGAGCTGGAGGAACACAGTAGGCCAGGCAGCATCAGAGGAACAGGATAGCTAAGGGGGTGGCCATGGGCACCCGCATGGGCCCAAGCTATGCCTGCCTCTTCGTAGGATATGTGGAACAGTCCCTCTTCCGCTGCTACACTGGCATTACCCCCCACCTCTTCCTCCGCTACATTTTTTAAAAAAAAAGGTCCTGACCCGAAACATCAGCTTTCCTGTTCCTCTGATGCTGCCTGGCCTGCTGTGTTCCTCCAGCTCCACGCTTTGTTATGCTTAAAGGACTATTTTGTGACATGGCAACTTCAGTGCATTCTATAAAGGAAAAATAAAACTGCCTGTTCTCACAAGTTTATTATTTTCACAGAGACAGTAATGCTGGAGAACAAGGAGTTTGGATCTTCCATCTTGGTAGTTCTTCTAACCAGACCGTTTTTCCTGCCAGCGTAAGCAAGTTGCACACCGATTATGTTCGGAATTCTTTTAGTACTGTTCCAACCATTGACCGTCAGAGGAACTCCAATGTAGATATAACTGAGAATGGGTCAGACCCAGAATACAATCGTTCCGAAGAAGAAGAAAGGATTGGCATACCGGAAGATGCTGGAGTCTACAAGGTAGCTTCAGAACGGAATGTGGAAGAACCTCACTATGTGGAGCAGTTTCCGGTTCGCACACATATCAAAGTAAAGCCAATCCAGTTCCAGCATTCACAGTTTCCCCAGCGGAGAGTTGAACTATCAGAGACAGAGTTGGATGTGACTGGAAATGGTATAGTGACTTGTTGATACATATATTTAACACATTTTACAAAATGTTTGAGGTCTAGTACTAGATCAATATATATAATCCGAAAGTGCTGTAATTAGGTGAGTGCACAAAATAATCTAGTAATTTGTGATGAACAAATTATATACCGTTGCGAATTACCACAGATTGCTGGATGTTTTCTGTCACTTTTCTGCTAGCCTCACTGAAACTGGGTGGGGGGGAATGATCTAGTCATGGACCTCCCAACCAGGGGCTTGAAATTACTGGATTTGTCCTGTTAATATGAATATGTCTCACAGCAGCAGCAGTTTAGAACAGGTGATTCATGCCATAATAACTTTGTTCATGATGTGGTTTATGAGCCTGACATGAAAGTTAAGAGGCTTGGCCTGGAAAGGTAACAATAAAACTGTGGGTCTTCACTCCTCCAGGCAATAAATTATTCCTAGAGAAATTGTAATGCAAAATTTTATCAAAAAATCTTAATATTGCTTTGACTGTTTCCAATCCACCCCAACCCCATATTTATTTTTCTGTATTCAATTTACACTAATTTGTGCTCTTTTCTACTCTGTTATTTCTCTGTCCTTTAAATTTAGTTGGCTAATAAATATGCTGTTGGTCCTGGCATTCATGAGGTCCCAGCTGCCCTGTGTTCCTTGCCGTAACATTATTATTTTGCACTTGAGCACAAGATATAGTGCAAGTATATTACAATGTAAAGGGTGAGGAAAGGGCATCCAACTTATGGCACAAAGCATCCCCCCAACCAATTCTCTTTTGTTTGAATTACTTATGAAGCTGCTCAATGAATGAGGTGTTTGATCTAAGGCTAGCAACGTGTGCAGATATTGTTTCATTATTTTCGCCAAACACAGTCCTGAAAATGAAAAAGCCACTATCCAATTTTAAGATTCTGAATGTATCTTGTATTTTTCTTAAATCCCACTTTCTCATTTCTTGATTACTCGATTTTTCTTTCTGAAATGTGGACTGTCCATTCTCCGTTTTTTTTATCTTCCTTTTCTTTTTTGCAATTGTTTTTCCTTTATTCACCCTTTCTTGAAAGACCCCTTTGTGGAATGTAATTTCAGCATGGGAATGCACTTCTAGGATCTCACCTATGATGAATATTCAAAATAAGTTTAAAATGCTCTCAAGGTTTAGGCATTGCCAACAAGACTGGCATTTATTCCGAATCATCCCTGAGAAGATAGCAGTAAGCTAACTTGAACTTTTGTAGCCTAAATGCTATAGGTCCTCTGACAGTGTGGTTAAGGAAGGAATTCCAGGATTTTTCCCAGTATTAGTGAAGAAATGGCAATGGAGGTGACGGTGCAGCTTTGGTGTTCCAAAACACTGCTGTCCTTGTGATTCTACGTGTTAGAATTTGCATGGAGATGCTGCCAAAAATGTCTTGACCAGTTGCAGCATTATGTTTAGTAGATTGTACAAATTGCAGTCTACATGGAGGATCAAACCTCCAGCATGTAACTTGTTAGAGATGCTGTGTGCAGTCATGAGCATTCATGTGTGCACTCATTCAGTGAGCCACAGAATACCCAGTCTGAGCAGTTCTGCTCATCCAAAAATTTATGTGGCTTGCCCAGTAGAATCTCTGGTTACTTTGGACTACTCCCTGCCAACACAGTCCTTCCGCACCCCAACACAACAGAAGATCTGAGTGTGATCTGGAAATGGAAATGCTATTGAATGTCATCAGATTTTTTGTTTTTGATGTCATCGGCGATCACCATTGCCTGGGACTTGTGTGAAATTTACTTGGTATATATTATGTTTATGTTGGGCTCAACCAATAGGGTAGAAATCCACTTTTCTGCTGGGTAGTGTTTAGGGGCAGGAATCCTGGCCAGTTCTCTTTCTCCTTTTTCTCCACGCTCCCCCCCGCCCCAACTGTCTGGTTGCATGGGGAATAGTATTTAGTACCCTCACTACTGTTATAGTTGAGATCAACTGACTCATGGATGCTAGTGGTAGAAGATTTGATTCTTTCAATCTGACTCATCTGCTCACTGCTTTAATCAACTGAAAATATAGCACAGTCTCATGAATAAATTATAACAATGTTTTACAAGATGAAGGATTTTTCTAAGTTTTTGTTGTTGCATTTTCTACAGTGCTGTTGGATTTGTAATCTTGCCCTCTGCCTCAAAATATGTTCAAACCTCCTTGTTCCTACACTGATAAAATCCTATTCTGCATGAAAACTTGTCTGTCTGACAATGGTTGGCTGAGTGCCATTTTAAATATATGGTTTTAATTTTGGATCAGAACCTTTTCCATTCTGTAGTATTTGACTGCTGATACCTTGGCTTTAATATTCACATCCACATGTTCGAATCTCTCCATGGCCTCTCAAGTCTTTCCCTAAGCCCTATATGTTCTCCCAAATTTCGGCTCCTCTGTTCTGGTCTTGTGCATCCCCAAATTTCTTCACTCCGCAAATGGCAGCAAAGTCTTCAGCTGCCTAGACTTTAAGATCTGAAATTTCCTTACCTCTCCACTTCTCTATCGTTTTAAACTTTTTCTTAGAATCTACCACTTTAATATTTTGATTACCTGTTCCCATATATCTCCTTATGTACCTAAGCATCAAAATTTGACCAGTTATGTTGCTGTGAAAGGCTTTGGGAAGTTACAATACTGTAGGTATGAAAATTGTTTTCATGTGACACTCCTGTACTCTGCTCTCCTATGAAGATATCAGCCCCATATGATGCTTTGGCAAAAATTTTATAACATGTTTCCTATTTAGTCAAACAGTTGATGTTGCTTTTCCATGGTATGAAGTGTGCTGGTGATATAGGTCTACATGGCCCTCTGGATCTGCTTGGTGTGGGAATCCACTTGGTATGATATTTGTTTTAACAAATAGTTCCACGCATGGCTCTTCTCTCTGAAGTACACCCAGAATTTGGAGCAGGTGTAGGCCATTCAACCCTTTTGAGGCTGCTCTTCTCTATGAAGTTTGTGGTTTCACCGCTACTTCCCTGTCTCCGCCCCCTGCCCCCCCGAGACTCGTAACTCCCGACTCAACTTAACGATCAAAATCAATTTAATGCAACCTTGAATAAATCCAGTTGCTTGGACTCTGCTGTTTGCTGGGGGAAGAGAATTCCACAAATGTAACAATTCTCTGAGATAAGAATTCTTTCTTTTCCTTGTCTTAAATTAGGCATCTCTCATTTATAAACTCTGCCAAGACACACCTCCTTGCTGGCACTCACCTTGTCAAGTCCCTTTAGGACCTTTTTAAATTTCAATAAGACCACCTCTCATTCTTCTAAATTCCAATAGATATAGCCCTAGCCTGCTCAACCTTTCATCATAACCTTGCTCTTTCATCACAGGAATTAGTTGAATTAACTCTCTGAATTTTTCCAATGCAGTTGTGTCTTTTCTTAAGTAAGTTGAACAAAGCTGTTCACAGCACTCTAGGTGTAGTCTGACAAAGGCCCTATACAGCTGCAGCAACACATCACTACTTTTATACTCAATTCCCCTTGCAATAAACATCAATTTGCCTTTCTAATCACCTGGTGTACCCTGTGTGAAAACTTGATTTATGTATCCAGATCCCTCTGTACCATTGAGTTCTGCAGTGTTGGATCCATTTAAATTGTATACTGTTTTTCAATTCTTTTCTGCTAAAGTGAACAAATCCACAGATACTCACAACATGTTCCATGTGCCAGATTTGTTCTAACTCACTTAACCTCTATAAATCCCTTTTATAGAGTTTTTATGTCCTGTTGGCCCCTTACTGCCTATCTTCGCATCATTAGCAGTTTTAGCTATCATGGATTTGGTCCCTTCATCCAAGTTATTGATACAGATTGTAATAGAGTCATGGAGTTTTACATCATGAAAAGAGGCCCTTTGGTCCATTATGTCCTCACCAATCATCAAGCACCCATCTATTCTAGTCCCACTTCCCAACACTCAACCTGTAGCCTTATATGCTATGGCAAGCGTTCATTTGTCTAGTACTCTTGATATTAGGTTTTTATTAAAAGCATCTACTTCTATCTGTCTTTTTCTTGTAAGTTAAAAGCGTGAATAAATGAGGGCAACAAAGACCCATTTTATCTGCCCATCCCTGTTTAACCCCTGATGGGTTGATAGTGTCACTCAAATGCAACCAAATTTTAGCTAAGGTTGAAAATTTGTTTTGTTCTGCAAGTTTGTTCACTGTATTTTTTTCCCCTCTTTCTCAGTTTTCTCCTACAATACAGAAAGACAGCTCACCTGCGCAAACAGTCGTCATGTGTGTTCGATTCATGGCCAGTGCAGAGACTATGAGGCAGGTTTTTGCTGTCACTGTAATCCTGGTTATTATGGAAATGGCAAGCAATGTGTTGCAGAAGGTAAGTCTGGTCTGCTTTCATCTTTTATTCCAAGTCCAAAAAGCTTGTTTTTGTGAAAGAAAAGACTGTAGAAATGGATTGTGTTATTTGAATGCACATTCCTTACAAAAAGCAGTCTTTGGGCCCTTTTTAGAGTGGTGGCTTAGCAAGTGGGCATCTGGCAGAAGACAAACAGTGGCAAGAATAAAAAATAATGGAAGTGTTCCTTTTTCAGTAAGTTCATATATTGACTGATCTTTAATTTAACAAAGCTGCAAATCTGCCTATTACCCCCATTAAAAGCCTGCAATAATATGATGTATTTCTTGGTGCTTCTTTCAAGTTGTCTGGGCTGTTTGCACATTGCATGAGAACTGGGGCACTATGACAATTGTGAATGGGAGAGAGTTCGACCCAATGAGATTATTCTATAGGTGACCTGCAGCACTTATCTGAGTAATTCCTTTTGTATGAGTTAAAAACAGTGAGTATCACAGTTCATTTAACCATAATAGAGCATTCACCAAGAGTTGGTCACTCAGTCCCTTCAAACCTATTTAAAGGAGATCACGCTGATCTGTACCTCAGCTGCTTTTATCCACAGTTATTCTCTTATCTCAAATACTATCTCTGGATACCGTTACCTTATCAATAATAGTGGGTAATCAATCTTGAAGCTGTAATTGATCTCTGCTCCCACAGGTTCTTGAATCTTACAATTGTTACAGCACCAATGTAGCGTGATTGCCGTATCATTTCTGAACCACCTCCCTCCAGGACTAACTTATGTCTCTTCCCTGCCCTTTTTCCCCATTGCCTTGAAATGTTTTTCCCTTCAGGTGTCTATCTAATTCCCTTTTGTAAGCTATGGTTGCATCTGTACCTATGACATTGTCAGGCAGTGCATTCCAAATTCTAGCCACTTACTGCACAAATATGATTTTTCTCATATTGCCTTTTCTTTTGGTACAGTGATCTGCTATGTGGAAGTTCTACCAGTGGGAAAAATTTCTCCCTATCAACTTTGTTTAGACCCCTCATGAACTTGAAGATCGTTATCAAATCTCCTCTTGACTTCCTCATCATGATGGAGGACAACCCTAGTTTCTCCAATCTATCCATGTAACTGATATCCCTCATCCTTGGAGCTATTCTTGTAAATCATTTCTGTACCTGTTTTTAAAAAAAAATCCCATCCTCCCTAAAGTGCAGTGCTGGATTTGGACAGAATATTTTAGTTAAGGAAGAACCAGTGTTTTATACATCTTTATTATAACTTCCTTGCTTTCATAATATATTGCTTCTGTTGACAAACAGAATCTCTGGACCTTTCTATGCCTTTTTTAATTACTTTCTCATCTTGCTCTACCTCCGTCAACAATTTGAGCACATCTACCCGCAGGTCTCTCTTTTCCTACACCACCCCTTTAGAATTGTACCCTTTTATTTTATGTTGCTCTCCTTGTTCTTCCTGCCAAATTATATCACTTTAAATTCTGCTGCATTATATTTTATCGGCCATTTGTCTGTGCATTCCGTCAGCCAATCTATATCCTCTTGAAATCTATTACCATCCTTGTCAGTCCACAGTACTTTTGAAATTGTGCTCTGTCCATCTAGGTCTAAGTCATTAATGTAGATCAAGAGAAGCAGTGGTCCTCATACCAACCCCTTGGGAACCCTCACATTCCTCAGTCCAAAACCAGCTGTTCACCACCACTTGTCCACCACCTTCATATCCACGCTGCAACTCTGCCTTTTATGAGCTGCAGTTCTGTTCACAAACCTATTACGTGGCATTTTATCAGAGACCTTTCAGAAGCCTAGGTACACCATATCAACTGACTTTCTCTAATCAGCCCTCTGTCATTTCATCAAAAAACTCAAACGAGTTGGTTAAACGTGACTTGCCTGTCACCATCCATGTTGTTTATTAATCCAATTTGTTCAAATGATTGCTAATTTTATCCCAGGTTATTGTTTAGAAAAGCTGTTTCATCACCAATGCGACATTGCTGGGCTGTAATTGCTGCTACCATAATATCCTACAGCCAATTTTTGTACCATCGTGTAGTATTTGCAATTCTCTAATTCTGTGACATCTTCCCATATCTAAGGAGAATTGGAAATTATGGTCAGTACTTCTACAATTTACTTTTGTTTTCCTTTTTAGTATCCTCCGATGCATGCCATCAGCCCTGGTGACTTCATAACTTTAGGTATAGCCAGCCTTTCTACTATCTCTTTAACAATTTTAAGCTTATTCAGTATATCAACTACCCCTTCTTTCACTTTGACTTTGCCAGTATTAATTTTTTGTTGAAGAAAGATGCAAAGTATTTATTTCGTACCTCAGCCTCTATTTCTGGATTTTCTTTGATCCATCATTGACCTTCTCCTCCCCTTGTACCCTTTTACTATCCTTAATGGCTGTAGAAGATTTCTTTGATTCCCTTTTACTATTAGCTGACAGTCTGTTCTCATACTCATACCTGTGACAAGAGAATAAACATTGTATTTTAAGTCTTTATTCTCATCCTTAATTGTTATCCATTTCACACTGTCCAGCAAGATCATTGGATAGCGATAGGCATGGAAATCCCTAGCTGATTAATTCTTCAGTTAAATAGACCATATTAGAAAAAAACTCAGCAAATCTGATAACTCTGCTTCCCTCTCTGCTGATGCCAACATCCTGAGTCAAAATAATCCTTCTTCGGAACTGTTAGTTTGGAACTATTGAGTTCACTCATTTAGGGACATGATTCCAAAACAAGGGGTGGGCCATTTGAGGTTGGGTGAGGAAGGATTTCTTAATTCAGAAGGTGGTGAATCCTTGAAATTCTCTGCCCCAGAGGTTTATGACAGCTCAATCATTGAACATGTTCAAGACAGAATTGATAGATTCTGGAGAATATGATTATATCAGGGGTTGGCGATGTAATCCACCTTAATACCGCTTCACTTCATTATAAACTATGATCTAATTGAAATGGGGGTAGCAGGCTGAATGGCCTTCCCCTGTGCGTATAAGTTCTGAAAAAATGACATTGGACTCAAAATATCAACTCTGTTTTTCTCTGCACAGACGGTGCCAGCCCTGCTGAGTTTCTCCAATATTTTGTTCTTTCACTGATGTTTCAAACATCTACAGTAATTTGTTTTTAAATTCAATCCAGAGGTGAGTTTAAAAATCCTGTGACTTCTTATTTTTAAACAGGATCTCCCCAGCGTGTTAATGGAAAGGTGAATGCAAATATTTTTGTAGGAACCAACCCAGTACCTATTCAGTTTGAAAACATTGACCTGCATTCATATGTGGTGGTAAATGATGGGCGATCATATACAGCTATAAGTCGAATCCCAACAACCCTAGGCTGGTCTCTCTTGCCACTATCTTCTGTTGGAAGTATCATTGGTTGGATGTTTGCTCTGGAGCAACCTGGCTATGAAAATGGATTCAGTATTGTTGGTAAGTAGTGTCATCATTCTAAAATACTGTTATCTATACAGGAACTGGATTGTCGCTGACTTTCATTGTTATACCACTGGCAGACATGCCTTCAGCTACTTCAGTTTGAAGCTCTGAAGGTCCCTTCTTAAAACCCCATTAGTGTTACAGTGACAAAAGTGTGTTTTTTCCTTGCCTTGTTGAGTGGAAAGCAACGAGGAAAAGGAACCATTGTTTTAAGGTGGTCAAATTCAGCTTTGCAGGTGGTTGCCAAGATGCTGTCCCCCAGCTTAATACCGTGAATGCTGTATGGGTAATGATGGAAGGATGAAGGACCTGGTGCAGACAAGAGTGTCTAAAGCAGAAATGAGACAACTAGTTACCATTTGACTAAGTTGATAGGTGGAGGGGGGAGACCATTTTGATAAAATGCTGCACAACAAGCTGGGGTAATGTATTTTCTAGAAACGATAACAGTAGGAAGGTTTGGGTTTTAACCGGAAATGTGAATAACGAGGGAGATTGATCCTAATGTCAGTAATGGTAAGATTTATATCGATAACAGGCTGATGGAATAGTTTAAAAACCTTTTTGTAAAATCTAATATGGACACATTTTGCTAGCTTTACAAATCACTCTGGTCGTTTTCTTTTGTGGAGCCTGTGTTACAGCATTCCCTAGAAAAATGACCAAGTTCTGTCATACACAGCAAACCACTTGATCTTTCTCTTTACAATGGTGTAACCAGGAGTACTGAAATAATGCTTTATCTGTCATCCCACTAGTGGAAAGCAGCTCCTCGAGTAGCAGAGGAGTTGAACAGACAGATGGAAATATTAATCTTTCAGTGACAGTCTACAAATACATTTTCTACTGTAATTTATTAGCTTCTTTAAACTTGAGGAATGGAAGCGAAGGGCTAAAGAAAATTTAACCGCTGTAATGTTCTCTTTTCTAGAGCTGACCTTTTCAGCATTTGCTTCCCTGGCCAAATTTTTGCGGTGTCCATGTTATAATCCCAGACTACACCATCAAGTATAAAATATGATCTGGCTAGAGACCAGTAATTTGTTTTCTTAAATTGTACAATTGAACTTGAAACCTCTTCATGTTGCTTCATCATGGACTGCCTCAACAACTGCTCATGTTCTGCCTGATCACCCTCCTTTCCTGGGACTACATTCCCCTGGATTGTGAAAATTGCACTCCCGGCATAACTTGCGCTTTTCACAGACAGCTAGCTTCACCAAATAGTTACTGTTCACGTTTTGAGTAAAAATACCCTTCTGCCATCACAGCTGAGTGGCCTAGCTCAAATTTTAATATTAGACCCGTTTGTTCTTAACTCCCTGCCAGAGAAAATATGTCTACCCTGTTATATACTTGAGTCATCTTAAACATCAAATGCCTCCTCCAATTTGATCTGTGTGCTGTGAGCTAAACGTAATTCCTATATTTCATGTCTCTTACAAAGAACTACGTAGAATTTACAGCACACTAACTGGTCATATGGGTGGTGAGTTCTGCATTCTATTCACTCTGAAGTAAAATAGTTTCTTCTGATCACCTTGTTAGATTTATCAGTGACTATCTTGTATTTATGACCCAAGTTTTGGGAGGCCATTTGGCTGGAATGTGCACCTTATCCTCATCTTCAGTGTCAGAGAGAGTAGTCGAAGTAACTGATCTTTTCCAAGAATACCAACATTGTTTATGTCATCAGGCCACATGAATAATTTGGCTTGGAGGAGCTATAAAGATGATTGCAGCAATCCATTTCAGCATTCTGCAGATTGTTCTAACCTTTTATTACATATTTATAGAACCGTCATCTTTTATTCTTTGTATGTTACTTGGAAAATTCTATCAATAAACACTTTTGAGAGTAATTTTGAGAGCTAGGCTAATGTTCTAGGAACATGGATTCCTCATGGTAGATGGTATAATTTGAACTCAGTAAAATCTGCAGTTTTAAAAATCTAGTCTCATGGTAACCACGTAACTAACGTCAATTGTAATTAAAAATAAAGTCCTTCTGCCTCACTCGTCTTCTTTAAAAGAAAGAAATCTGTGATCCTTGCCTGTTCTGGCTTACATGTGACTCCACAGCAATGTGATTGACTCTCAACTTTCCTTGGAAATGGCTGAAAGACCTCTCAGCTCAAGGACAAATAGGAATGGGCAATAAATGATGTCCTTGCTAGTGGCACCCATATCCAATACAACAATAAAAAAGGCACTGTGTTTTCCCCTTGTAGATACTGACTTTGAACAAGTTCTGTCAGAACACAGGAAATGCGCTTTGGTTACATTAGGGACTCCAAATATGCAGAGTTTGGCCTCGTGATTAAATTTAAGAATCCTTGTGGAAATCCTGTTGATAGGGCCAAAATGGAACATTTGCAAAGTAGTAGATCATTGGATGTTCTCTAACCATTTGGGAACTTCTAACATCTGCCTTCATCCATATGGTTACCATATTAATTGAGTCCAGAGCCCTTGAGGGAACTTGCAGAATAGTGATATTCTGTCACTGCAAGTCTGTCTTGCACATGTTGTGTTTTTGTATCCATCTCCTGTTCTAAACATCAGATCCCAGTACTGCACTGCCTTGCCTGTAATATTTAGTACTGGTGTTCAAATTCCTTCATTGCTTCATCTCTCCAACTCTACAGACGCTAGTATCCCGTCACCAAGTTTATTTACACGTGAACAGTCCTGGACTATAGTACTGCCATGTACAGAGCCAGGCACCAGAGTCTTGGGTCCAGGAAGATCAGACTTAACCCGGTGCAAGTCTTCTACCCATTAGCAACTCTGCCGGTGCTATCCCTGCAGGGGTGGTCCTATAATCAAATAAAAACTGTGACAGCTTGGTATCTAGCAAGGCTGTAGGCTGCTTCTTCAATGCAGCCTTCAAAGTTTGGACCGCTCTTTCTGCCAGACCATTGGTTAATGGGTGCTATGGAGCTGGTCTTCTATGTTAAATTCCATTCAATTTTAAGAAATAACCAAATTCTCTGCTAGTAAATGATGACCCATTATCTGTCGCCAACACTTATGGAACTCTGTTTTGTAAAAGATGTGCGCAGTTTTTCTTCCGCTGTCTCCGTGTTTGACAAATGGACTCTATGCAAGTACAATCAGGAGTTGGGCATCAATAATGACAAAGAGTTTTGAACGAACGAAAGGACCTGCATAGTTGACTTGCATCCGAGTTCAAGGTTTACCTAGCCATTCCCACCAATGTGGAGGAGCTACTGGTGGTAATTTTTGTTCTTGTTGGTAATCTGGGCACTGCCCCACTAATACAGCTATGTCTGCATCCAGTCCTGGCTGCCAAACATAACTTCTCATCAACATCTTCATTTTGGGGTCCCCTGAATGACCCTCATGGAGTTTAGCCAGTATTTGGTGACGACCTTTGCTCAGGGCAATCACTCTTGTTCCCCATGACAATATGCCATCCACCACCTTGAGGTGGTCTTTCTGGGCCCAAAAACATGTTAATTCTAGTTTGACAGCCTCTGGTTACCCCCATTTAATATCAATAGTTTCAGTTTGGAAAGGGCTGGATGAATTTGTATCCAAAGTCTGATATTGTTAGCTGTGACAGAGGGCGTGTCCAGAAAATGTGTCCTCATTTCAGGCTCCGGTGGTGTATCTGCTAATGGGAGATGGCTCAGTGTATCTGCATTCACTACTCAGCCACCCAGGCAATGTTCCAATTCGTAATTATAAACCTTAGTATTAGAGACCACCACTGAATGTGGCCTGAAGCTGTGGGCAGCACTGCCTGGTCCTCTTTAAGAAGACCAAGTAGGGGTTTATGGTCTGTGATAAGCATGAATTTTTGTCCATAAAGGTTATTGGTGGAACTTCCTGGCTCCAAATATGACTGGTAATCCTCCTTTTACTATCTGGGCATATTTACGCTCTGCATTAACCAAAGTCCTGGATGCGTAAGCTATTGGGCGTTACTCTCCAATGGGCCACCTATGAGCTAATACCACACCAATGGCATATGGAGAGGCATTGCACTTCAATACCAGATCCTCCATGGAATCATAGTATGCCAACACTTCAGAGGATTTTAGCTGTTTCTTTTATTTTATTGAAAGTTAGAGCTTGTCTATGAGACCATTTTCAAGGCTGATCCTTTTTCAAGGAATTGATGCAAAGGTGCCAGGATGAATGCCAGCTTATGTATGGACTTTCTGTAATATTTACCAGACCAAGATATGCCCTAAGCTCCTAGACAGACTTAGGAGCTGGGGCACTTTTGATCACCCTCACTTTATCGTCCAGGGTCTAACCTGGTCTTGTCAACTCTGTAGCCTAAGTAGGTCACTTATGGGCCCTGGAACACACATTTTTTCCCTTCTTAGGCATACACATGTCTTGGAAAAATGCCTTAGTACTATATCCAAGTTCTCTAAGTGTTCCTTGTTAGTTTTCCTGTTGTCAGGACATCACCTAGGTAAATGGCGACATGAGGTAGACCTTGCAAAATGTTCTCCACCATCTGCTGAAAAATTGAACAGGCTGATGATATCCCAAGTGGCAGTCTCATAAATTAGTGCATGCCCTTATGGTTAATAATTATATTATACTTCTGGGAATCCTGGTCTAAACGGAATTGCAAGTAATCATGGCTCATAACCAACTTCATGAAGGACAGCACCCCCTGCCAGCTTTGCGTATAACTTCTCTATCCAAGGGATTGGATATTTATCTAGCTGCAAAAATTGGTTTACTCTTTGTTTAAAATCCCATAAAGGGGGACTGACCAATCAGGCTTCAGAATTGGTACAATTGGTATTGCCCATTCTGTGAATTGAACTGGTCTGATGATCCTTCACTTTCCAACCTCCTGGTTTCTGCCTCTACTTTTGCCTATGAGGCAAATGGCACTGGGCAGGCCTTGCAGAATTGTGGAATTGCTTCCTGGTCAATGTACAAGGTGGCCCTGGCACCTCTGATAGTCCCTAGACCTTCCTGAATACCTCTGGATATTTAATTAGGACTTCACTTGGGCAGCTATTTTCTAATTGAATAATGTTGAGCCAATCTCAGTGAACCTCTCACAATCAATTTCACCTCATTAAACTTGAGCCTGAGCCTTTAACTACAGTCCCTGGCAACTGAACCAGTTGCTTTGCTGAAGTTGTACCCATAATCTGTAAAGGTTCCCTGGTATAGGTCCTCAACCTAGCTGAGGTCTTGCACAAAGTTACGGGTTAGAGTCCAGAATGAATTTTGTTTAAAAACTGGTTCTGTGAACATTGATACAGCCCCACTAATATTGACCTCCATTAGAACTGGATGACTGTTTTAACCAGGCATTTATCTTGATTGCTTCGGATTTAGGTGTTGCTAAGCAATTTAACTGGCCCAAACCAGAAGTAGGGGGACTTTGCAGGGTATGAACTCTGCTGGAAACCCTCCTGGATACAGGCCTATGTTACCATCTCACTAAATTTAGGTCTAGCAGGACTCTTTTGCTGCCTCGAGTCCACACACCGGCAACAACTACACGGTTTGCCAGCTAGAATCCTAAAGAAAATGTTAACCATTTGGCCAAGGTTTGGCTTTGTTTTGGGGTTTTGCGGTGGGCCGACTGAGAGTCCATCTGATCAGGATATTTCCTGAGTGAGGCTGCGCAATTGTCTGCACCCAAATGGTGTTCCCCAAACTCAGTCGGACTGGCAAGGATGTCCACTTACATCAGAATACCTTGCAACTCACGTGCTCCACTTGCTACATTTTCCAATGATAAAACCAGTTGTAGCCCCTTTTTGAAGTCCAGTTGAGTTTCAGCTAGCAGGTGTTTAGTTACATCATTAATCCCACAAACCAGACAGTCTCTAAGCATCTCCTTAAGGGTTAAACTAAGTTCACCGGTTTCTACCAGTCATCTTAACCTAGTCAAAAAGCCTTGTACGGTTATCCCTGGTTCTTGAATTTGCAAGGAAAAGCGATAGCGTCTCAGAGTTGGAGGAAGCTTGGAATCGTAATATTCCTTAACTATGTCAGTCAACTCTTGAAAGATTTTAGAATCTGGTACCGGAGGGAAAGTTAGACTCTTAGAAAAAGCTGCAGCTCCCCAAATCAGTTCGGGGAATTACTTGTTTTTCATCTGCCACAACGTTGTTTGCCTGGGAAAAAAAAATGCACTCTTACTTGGCCCAGTCCTCAATGGCAGGTTTAAATGAGTCAAACTATTCCAAACAATGGGATGATGTATGAAATGCTTACCTCAACTTAAAGACAACTGTTGCGAGTGAGTTTCTTCAGAAATGTGCTTGACTCTTGTCATCCATAGAGGCTGGCACCCTGTCACTAAGTCACCCTTTATTTACACATGAACAGTCCTTGACTACGATGTGGAGGTGCTGGTGTTGGACTGGGATGGACGAGGTCAGAAGTCACATGGCACTAGGTTAAAGTCTAACAGGTTTATTTGAAATCACAAGCTTTCGTAGCATTGCACCTTTGTCAGGACTATAACCTGGTGCTGTGCAACTTCTGATCTAGTCCTTGACTACAGCACTGTCTCATACAAAGTCAGGTGCTGGAGTCTTGGGTCCAACATTAGAATTCCTGATGCCATTTCATCACAACCTTTGCTTTCTCTGTAGCCTGCTCCAGTCCCACAACCCTCCCTCTCTGTATAACCTCCACTACTGCATATAACATGCTGCATTCCACTAATTCTAGTCTCTTGTGAATCCCTGATTTGCTTCAGGCTACTATTAGCTTCATTTGCCTCGGCCCTAAGCTCTTGAATTCCCTCTATAAATCTCTGGTGTCTTTTCTCCCCCTCTTTTAGGACGCCCCTCCCAAAAAAACATATCTCTTTGACCAAACCTGCCCCTAACGTAGCTTTATGTAGTTAAGTGTCAAGTGTTTGACTGCTTACACTCCTCTGCAGTGACCTAGGACATTAAAGGCACTATGTAAATGCAAATTGTTGTATGTTATTCCATGTTGTGACGTTGGTTTTGATTGGCTGGTCTTGGCTTTGTATTTCCCACCAGGTGGTGAATTCAGCCGTCAAGCGGAGGTGACCTTTGCACCTGGTAATGAGAAGCTTACTATCAATCAACGTTTCAGTGGAATTGATGAGCATAACCATCTCACCATCACCACCTCCCTGGAAGGACGAGTGCCTGAAATTCCACAAGGGTCAACTGTGCATATAGAGCCATACAATGAGTTGTATCACTACTCGAGCTCTGGTAAGCAAGCAGAGGAACATTCTTAATCATTCATGGTCAAACAATGTAGATCAACATTGAGCCAATCGCTGACCAGTTAAGATCGATTGGAAATTAGCCAATAGGTGGACAGGAGAAGAAAACTCAACAAGTCGGGTAGAAACCTTTTTATCTAGTTCTCCAGACGAGTCACCTTTTGAAGTAAGAACCTATCTTTTTCTCTCCACCAGTTCTGTGTCAGCTGTTGGCTGCTGGAGAAATGGTGTGGAAAGTTTTTGTTTTTCTCTTTTACTTTCTGGTGGTTTGACAAATGCAGGAACACTCTTCCAGGCATCATAGAGGACCCCCAGCTCAGTCTGTCAGTTTTACTCTGTTAACTTGTCTCCTAGGGCTCACCAGCAAGATCCTAACCAGATGATTAACAGATGTTGACAGTTTGCTTCCATTATGATATCCAGGCCTGATAATGACTTTGTTTAACATGCTGGTGTGTGTAATGTAAGAATTTAATATTAATCTCCAAAACACTGCTGCAAACAAAGTCCAGTTGATCATTTATAGTGGCAGTTCACTGAAAGAAATACTATGTTTCTTTTAAAAAGTAATTTCTTTGGATATTTCCATTGTAGACGGGATTAAACAGTCTGTGAGTTGAAGATCATACAAACAAGCATTTACAATCTTGTTTGATTTCCAATGGGTGTGGGAAAATAGTATGTTGCAGATAGGGGCGTCATAATAGCAACATGCATTGCATTGGCGTTAACTTGAAAAGGAGAAACTTGCAGGGCTTTGGGGAAAATGCAGGAAGTGGGACTAATTCATGGCTCTTTCAGAAAATCAGCAGTCAACAGACTAGCTTCCTTCTGCCATATCAGGATTACAAACATTGATTGTTTCTTTTTAAACAATGATGGTAGTTCAGAAAATGCATGTCCTGTGACATTTGTGGGCGCTCAACAATTTTTTTTCTGAAGAGTCGTATCAGAATCAGGAGGTTAACTCTGTGTGTGCCTCTTTCCTCAGATGCTGCCAGACCTGCTGAGTTTCTCCGGCATTTACTGTTGTTATAACAAATTTTTCAGTTTGGTTTGCTTCACAGTGTCTTTGAATATTCTGTCCTTTCATCTCAAGTGTTTTCTGACATCATTCCCTGAATAGTCAGCTCCAGTTTATGATTATGCTCCTTTTGTTCTGAACTCCTTCCACCACAGGAAATATCTTCCCTCTGATGTACTCTAACAACTCCTCCTTTTAATCATGTTAAATGTAGACTCTTTATGACTACAGATGATGTAGTGTGCTGTGTTTTGTGCTTCTGATGAGATTCACACTGCAGGTCAAAATGATACATCAGCTATCAGCTTGGAGGGTTGAAATTCCTTTAAGTTTCTTTTCTTCCTCCAAATCCATTCTGGCATTTCATGACCACACAGTGTGTTATTACTACTCAGTTAAGGGTTGTTGGTTTGTGGTACAGAGTGGTGGCAACAGCCCAGGATCAGTTCCTGCACCAGCTGGGGTGAGCATGAAGGTTTTACCTTCTCAACTTTGTCCATCGCCAGTTAAACTCAACACCAATTGTATCCCTCTGAGGGAGCAGCCCTATGGCTTTCTGGGATGACAGTGACTTTATTTTTACTATTATTGCCTAGAGCAACACCTTTTCTAAAAAGCTAATTAAAGCTGCTTGATCTATGTAGAATCCTGGTGAAATTCAAGTTTCCCAAATAATGTTGTGAGCATCTTTTAAATTAATACTCCAGTGACATTAATATCGGGTTTGTTTCTTGTTGGCGCAGCTTAGTAAGTGATTGGATAGCTGAACCATTCAGACTCGAGTCACAGATTCCTCCTCATTGTCTAGCTGACTTCAGGATGGATGCTACATTTTTTTAAAACAAGTCTTTGGATGTGGGGCTTGTTAACCAGGCTAGAAGTTATCACCCATCCCTGATTGCCATTGTAAAAGTGTTGATGAATCTCTGTCAAACTGCTGCATGCGGTGAAGGTTAAGTTACAGTGCTGATCCAGAAGGAATTCCAGGATTTTGTCCCAGTGATGATGAAAAGCCAGTAATCTATTTCCACATCAGGACAGTGTGTGGTTTGAATGTGTATGTGCAAGTGGCATTCCCACGTACCTGAAGCCCTTCTCTTTCTAGGTAGTAGAAGTTAAAGATTTTTCTATCAAGAGGCCTTGATACTTGCTGTAGTGTACATTGTGTAGGCAATATATTTTGCAGAAATGGCAGCAGTGATGGAGAGTGTAGGTGAGTTATCAGTCAGCTATTTTGACCTGGATGGTGTTGAGCTTCCTTAGTGTTGTTGAATAGTCTTCTACCATGCTCAAACAAGGAAGTAAGAAGGGGAAAAGTTATCCAAGATCTTGCTTCTGATAACGATTTGTGATGAGGAAAATTGGAATAATTTACTAATGAGAGAGTTCTACACGTGCAAAGTAACAAAAAGGTTCATGTCTTTAATTAATTAATGAAACAAGCTGAAATTGTTTCTTCTGTACATGGGAATAGCTAATTTGGCGCGTAAAAATAAAAGTATCTTGGCAGTACATGTTGGGTGAATAAGGCAGTTAGACCTAACAATCTAAACAGAATAAGAAGAGGTTCTGCATACCCCATGTGAGGAACTAGGCAGCAAATGAAGCAACAGGACCCCAAAGGTAATAATCTCTGGGTTGCCATTAGGGAAATAAGATTATAGAAATGGATATGTGTCTTATAGACTAGTGTGGTACAAATCAGTTGTGTGAGGCAGTGGCAGTATAGTACCAGGGAAAGTGAAGCTGTACTTCATACGAACTGTTTTTGGAACCAGTGTTCCCATAAACTGCATAAGTAGGGAAGTAGATCAAGTTGTAAACTAAATAACGGGAAAAATGAATCAAATTTGAGAAGATGTGGTTTTTGAAAAAGATTAGATACAAGTCAAGAGAGAAAAATATTAATACAGGAAATGACAAGCAGGTAGGGTTAGAGAGGACAAATATAAATGGAAGTCAACTGATGCATGAAGACCTTGCAAACTAATACAAAGACAAAACTAGATGCTCTGTATTCACATAGCATTCAAAAATAAGAGATGAACTGAAAGCACAAATAGAAATAAATATGTTTGTTCTAGCAGCCATTACAGAAACATGTCGGCAGGGTGACCTAGCTTGGACATGAATATTGAAGGCTACATGACATTTAGGAAGCACAAGAATGAGGAAATGATGGAGGTGTGGCTCCTGTAATTAATTACAGGAAAAATAAGGGCAGTACTGTTTACCAGTGCCCACAGAACCCACTGTATTACTACAGCAGAGAAACCGAGATAAGCTAACTGTAAGAAACCAGGATGTAGAAGTTATTTTGAGGAGGTTCAGAAATGATGAAGGCAAGAAGTAACTTGTGGGAGTGTTGTACATGCCCTCTAACAATAATCTTGCTGTAGGATGGAGTGTAAAGCAAGATATAATGGACACTTTTCATAACTGTCATCTGATAATCATAGGAGACTTAAATCCACATATAAAAACCGAAAGAACTGCGGATGCCGTAAATCA